CCTAACACTCAATCTAACTTGAGTTTAGAGAGTTCCACCTTACTCGAAAATCAACCCAACTTTTGGTAAAAATCCGCCCTTGACCGAACATTATATAATTATATTAGGTAAAATTAAGATCTAATTGAAAAAATATAAAGTAATATTATTACAATTATTTTTAAATACATAAGAGATAACCATACTTCTTTTCTGAGTCGATGATATTTTATCTTACACCAAAATTGACATTGCCCTTAAAAAAACCTAACTTGAATTAAAAAAAAAAACTTTCGTAGAAAGACTCAATCCTGTGGTCAGATGGAAACCTGTCAAGTCTAATGGGAGTGTTATTAGCATTAAAAAGAGATTTTTTTTTAACAACAACAATTGAATTTCAGTAATAATGAAATGAATCAAAATTAAAATGTATAAAAAATATAGAGAGAAATTTAAAGACAATAGCCACTAAAATACTCATACAAAAGTAAAATATTAAACCTAAAGATACGAAGAAAAATAAAACATTCCTATGAGAATTACAACTAATATAAAACCCAATGACCATCATAAAAAATCCTTATCTATGTCCAATGAGACGCTTTACGAAGTGATAAAGGGGTGGTTAACGAACCAAACAATCTGACAGTCTACTTCGCTACACAATTCTAATTACATTAGCAAACAACCTTTTACCAAAAGAGGAATTTAACTACACACAATGTAACACCCCCAACCCGTATCCGACCCGGATACGAGTCCGAAGTGTCACATTGACTTTTCAAACATTTATTCGTATAAAATAGTGAGTAATTTAAAAACTTGGATAACATTTAACTCATTCAAAACGTTTACAAAATATATCAGAGTTCATACAATTTTATATCTTTAGACTACATGCCAACTACACTCTATATACCGTACATATATTTTCTGATCTGACAATTGGGTAAGGAGAACTGACCTGTCTTGCTCCTCTTAGCTCTTTACTCTTCTCACTTCTGTAACCTACGTGTGAAACAATCACACGCTAAGTCGTTGACTTAGTGAGGCATAAATTATATAATAAAACTCTAACTCGTAATCATACTTGAACAATTTCTACTAACATATCACGTACAAGCACCATACCCACATATATATGTAATGATTCCTACTATGCACCTTTCATATATATATATATATATACATATCCACACATACATATAATTATCTTCTTTCCTATCATTATCATATTATCACCTTTCATATTTCTATTCTCTTGTTCATATAATCAATTAAGCTCATATCATATATCTTATAGCATATACAATAATCACTAACACACATATATCATATACAGTACATTCCATGTTATCTCTTATTAGCCCATGTGCACCTGTGAGAACTGTAGATATGTGAGTCTATTGAGGTTGTGCACCACTATGCTGTCACCACAGCTCATATAAATGTCCCGAAGGACCTATCCAGAGGTCACAAAGACCCCGGTAACTATCCAGAGGTCATAAAGATCCTCGGTAACTGTCCAGAGGTCATAAAGATCCTCGGTAACTGTCCATATGTTCCTTAGAACATAGGTATACTGTCCATATGTCTCGAAAGACATAGGTAAAACAGTCCATATGTTCCGTAGAACATAGGTAAACCCTCGACTCTTGGCATGCCAACTATACCCCTAGCTCTCATATCACATAACATGGGCATTATCATTTATAACATTTCATATCACTTGTATCACAAGTGCATGTATTCACGTAGATCGTTTCATATGACTATACCATTTCTCATTTGTTCATGTAACTTGCATGTCATATCATGTACATATAACACATAATCATATAGACTTACAGTTTTATCACCTATCATGTTATTTCACTTATACACTTTTATATCATATAAACTCATATATAAATCATGTCACATAACTTATCTCATAACTTATTTGATCTTCCTATATATTCTCATCTTATAACTTATATTACCTATGCATATAACCTTATGAGCTATTCTTATATTACCCTATATCAACCATACTTTGTTTATCTCACTTTCATATCATTCATTCAAAAGCATGTTAACACCTATAATCATGCATACATACAATTTATGTCATGCATATACATATAATCATATATTCATGCATTAAACATAGGAAATAGACTTGTCACAAGTCTTGTTTCCATTTAGCACCATAATTGAATTAATATGCACTCACCTGGCCTCACTAGTCCATTTCAATCTCTTATCTTCCCTTTTTATCGATCTTACTTGTCAATGATTCCGGAACTCGTTTAGGCTTTGAATCTACATAATTATACATTTTAAGACAATTATTAGATACCCACACCTTTTAATTGGATACTAGCAACTTAAACGAACTTATTAAACCAATATTAACATTTTCCTTTAGGGGGGAATCGATTCCCTCCTGTGGGGGTATCGGTTCCCCTCTGGCATTCTGGAATTCTGTCGTTTGAAGGGGTATCGGTTCCCCTTGAATGGGTACCGATTCCCCTTGCCCAGAAATCATATTTTTAGCTCGAAAATCACTTCAATTTCTCTCAAACACTTCATATATCATCCCCTTTTCATTCTTAACTCTAGTACACATACTTAAACCAATCTATATTCATTTATTTCATCTTAAACCTTAGAATTCTATTCTCCATATAGAATTCAATAATCATATCAAATTTTCATGTTATTCAAACATAATTCTAACACTTCTAACTTCTTAATCTCATAGATGACAAGTCAAATTCAACTTAAAATTCAACTTATCAATTCTATTTCAAGATTTGATTCAAGAACTCAAAATCTTTAATCTCTCATATACCTTTCATCTTGTTGTTTTAGAACAAATTAAGCTTTCCTTAAGCTTAATTATCATCTAATAATCAAAACCCAACCTTGAATTGAACAAATAATCAACTAATGAAGAAACTTACCTTTGCCCTTGCTCTTACGGGAGGGGAAGAGAAAGGAATAAGAAGATGAAATGCTTTCATCTTCTCATGCTTTTATCTCTTAATAAAGGGATAAAAATATCTTTCATGACAAATTACCCTTTTGCCCTTTAATTCTTTAGATAATTACTAACAACTTTCAGGAAATATCCTCAAATAAATCATTGAACTATTCAAGTATTCTACTTTTATTATCAAATTCTGAAATTTACGATTTAGCCACTAACCCGTAGTTTGGGATGTTACACACAACCACCGATAAACCAATCATAAAATAAATATTGTGATAGTTTTTATGCAAGAACGATAACAACCCGCCAAGCTATGCGAAAAAAACATACTAAAAACCATAAGGATCGTCCACAAGAGCATAGAAAACACGTGCCACAAGAGGAAAGAAAAACATGTCACAAGAACAGAGATTTTTATACAAAATTAAAAAGACTCAAGAAAAAAAACATAAGGTAAAAAAGTAAGATAACTAATAGTCACTGGAATTCAACAATCAACAAGATTAGTGCAGTCGTCAGCTAAAAAAAATCAAACAGAAACAAAGAAGACGGGCATAAAAAGGGAGTTCTAATACACCATTATTGGTGAAACACTTCAATAAATCTACTTGTAATAAGTTCTTATATAATTTCTAGTAAAATGGCGAATCATTAAGCACAAGAAAAACACGCAAAATTACTTTTAGAAGTATAAAAAAGAATATTACAAGTATCAATAATAAGACTTATTCGTTCTTTTGGTGTTCCTCGTTAAGTAAAATCAAGTATCCATCCAATCTAATACTATGTAGAGGCAACTGCAAATATAGCATTCATCATTAGAACAGGGCATTTCCGCATCAAACGACATCGTATGGAATCATCAACACATACGGCCGTTCGTGGGGTTAGGGAGGAAGGCAGAGAAACTTAAGTGGTGTTTGTTTTTGCAGAGGTAAAAGGTCTGCAGTCTGCGGATCACATCTGCAGGCATCTGCAGCAGAAGATGTGGACCAAAAGTCTGCAGTCTGCAAGAAGAAGATTGTTTGTTTTTTAACGTCTACAGACTGCTAAAATGAACTGAAATATAAATAAACTGATTTTTTAAACTTAAAATAGTTTTGCAATACTGAGATTTAAATAATTTTAGTTTTACAATACTGAAATTTAAATAATTCATACAAATACAATAATAAATTATTTAAAATAAATCAATCCATATTTTAAAATAAATCAATCCATACTAATAAATTATTTAAAATAAATCAATCCATACAACTACAATAATAAATCAATCCATATTTTAAAATAAATCAATTCATACTAATAAATTATTTAAAATAAATCAATCCATACAACTACAATAATAAATCAATTCATACTAATAAATTATTTAAAATAAATCAATCCATATTTTAAAATAAATCAATCTATATTTTAAAATAATTCAATCAATACTAATAAATTATTTAAAATAAATCAATCCATACAACTACAATAATAAATCAATCAATATTTTAAAATAAATCAATCCATATTTTAAAATAAATCAATCCATGTTTTAAAATAAATCAATCCATGTTTTAAAATAAATCAATCCATGTTTTAAAATAAATCAATTCATATTAATAAATTATTTTAAAATAAATCAATCCATATTTTATAATAAATTATTTTAAAATAAATTATTTTAAAATAAATAACCTTTTTAAATTATTTAAAATTATTTTACTAATAACCATATTTTATAACTGTTCTTGAAGAGGTTTGGAGACCTTTAAAGACATAAAATCATGTCTGCACCAAGAAGAGCTCGACCAGACGTTAGAAGAGTTTCTGTGTTCTAAAAAACAAACGGTCTGCTAAGCATAATGTTTGCGCGTGGTATGCGCGGCGCAGACATAAGAGGTTTGAAGAGGTGAAAAAGTGAAAACAAACAAATACTTAGTTTACCAATACCAAATGCTTTTTATTATAAGCAGTCAATCTCACAACAAAACCAAAAAGCATTGAAACTTAAATGCTTTAGCAACCAAATTGTCAAATGCATTAAGGTCTTTCCAAAGTGTAAAACAGCACTAGATGAAATTAGCCATAGGCATTATCAGAAGCGGTTTCAGAATGTTCACCGATAGATTTTCCGAACAGACTAAATTAATTGCTCACAATATCCAGGCTTCATCACCAATAATCAACCTGTTCTCATTATGATGTGAACCCCGCTGTCAGTATCCACAATGTCGCTTATTTCACCAACCTTGAGATTATAAGTTGCATCCTCGAACGGCTTCTGCATCTGGCCTCGACCAAAAGGACCTGCACCAAAAAGTTGTATAAGATTTGGGTTTGTATTATGGCTTTGTGATGCTGAAACAAACTAATGAAAGGTCACAGATAATTAGCAATAAGAACTGAGTGGCACATTCCTTACAGGATGCTGATACATACTAATGAGAGGTCGCGGATAGTAAAGATAAGAACTGAGTGACACGTTCCTTGAAGGATATAGTCAGAAAATTACATTAGTATATTAATATTTCAATAGATTGGCAGTATTCAATGTCAATAATGACATAAAACATATAGCATGAACACATTTGTACAATTTGCTAGAATTGAATGATGGACTAACTTTCATTGTGGAAGAACTGCTGTGCCTGGGAACCTTGGGATCAATTCATGTAGTCAGAACCCCATCAAGAATAAGAATAAAGAAGACTTATTGAGAAAATTTAAAGTATCCATTTCATACATGTATAAAAGTCTATTTTTATCTTAGTTTCTTTTCCAGATTCTCAGGATACAATAAAAAACAGGAAAGGGCTTAAACCTTGTAAGACATTGGCCGAAATATTACTACCATGAGGAAGGATATGACAGCACATAAAAGACTAAAAAATGGTCAGATGTAAAGGCTGTCATTAACATATTGGATATCTCTTAAGCCAATGAGAAACTCAGCAACAACCTATTGAATAAGCCTACTCGACTATTACAGCTCCGATTGCAGGGATCCCAAAATTCTAATATCTTAACGCCTGAAACCCTAATTTCAACAACAAAGTATTCAAAACGCTAGCAGTAACCAAAGTGTGCCGTTATCTATATGACTCACTTTTCAACACCTGTATTAACTCTAAGTATCTTTTTTGCCCTCCAATAATACAGCTTCTCACAAGTTTCTAAGCAACCAAACAGAAAACAGAAACTATATACTTCCAAATCGGAGCCTCTATTTTCATATCTAAAACTAAATCAGCAACGAAGCTTAAAAAAAGCATTTGCACCGCAATCAAAGGCACCAAACTAACCGAGATCACCGCCGCGTTTAGCGGAGCTGCAATCGGAGTAGCGTGAGGCAACCTCGTCGAACTTAGCCTTGCCGGAAACGATATCGTCACGGAGGAGCTTGAGCTGCGAGACGGCGGAGTCTCTGGTGGTAGTGGAGATGAATCGACCTTCTGGATCCTTCCAAGAAGCCTTGCGGCGAGAGCCTTGGTGTTTGATGAGTATGTGAGATGCCCTCACTTGATTGGCCGCCGTAGACGATGACATCTCGCAACTTCTTCTTCCACTAACGATTTCTTTTTCAATCCGGATATACTGTTTTCGTAGTTCTCAAGTGACTGAAACACAAAAGAGGAAAGAAAAACGGTTATTACAGAATTTGTAAAGTTTTGGGGGCACTCGCATTATCGCATGTAGGAAAAGCCGGGTGTTATCTTCTAACGTGTCGTTCTCTCATTGGTTAAAAATCAATTTAATTATCTCCATTTTCTAGAAGGGTAAGTTACAAAAAATTATCACTCAACCTTTCCCCTCTCCATTTTAGGTCATTAGAGTTCTAAAATATTTAATTTAATCACTACAGTTTAGACATTGGATTTTTTATATCATAAATAATTAACGATATTATGACATAATATATAATTCCAAAATAATTTCATTTGAAAAAAAATAAAATTTATTCCAAAAGAATATTAGTTTATATCTCTTACCTTTTCTTTTATCTTATTCTCTTCATCTCTTATTGTGATTGGTCATCCTTAGCATCTCTCGGAGATCAGGTCTTTTGTTGTTTTTAAAATTTATTTACTAAAAAAGCCGTTAAATGGAACCGTTTATGAAACTTGTTCCTGATTGTTTGGATATTTTTTCTCCCTTTTCTGCGGTTTATTGATAGGATAAGTGTAAGAAGGAAAATTATGTTCAAATATCCATGGATTCATACGTACATTTGACGGGGTTAGAGGATGAAGTTAACAAGTTAAAGGATGAAGTCAAATCATGCAGGATGAAGTAAAGGATTTGAAAGGGAAACTATCGGCAGCTCATTCAGAGATTAAATCTAAGGATGCTTTGATTAGCCAACATGCTAAAGTTGCTGAGGAAGCTGTTTCAGGTATGTGTTGGAAAAATTAATGCTCGCTTGTAATCCTACCATTGAGAGATGGTTTTGAGAGCTTTTATGCAACTTTTTTCTTCAGGATGGGAGAAGGCGTCGGAACTTTTCTTTACACTAACTATCCTCTTGCATTTGGTATGAAATCAAGGGAGTTTCATGGTGAAAATGAGGTCATTATCTAAATGAATTAGCTAAGAAGGAAAAACTCACTCAACAAGTGAAGAATTTAGAGGAGAGGATAAAATCTAAGGAAATAGCTGAGTCATTTTTTAGGCTTGATGCCAAAGAATTGAGTATGGTCCTCGACTTGGCCCTTCCACCAAAGTTCCAAGCTCCTGGCTTCGAGAAATATGATGTGACCACTTGCCCTTCCTCCCACATCAGCATGTTCTGTGGGAGAATTTCTGGATACTTAGAGAATAAGTTGTTAATCCACTATTTTCAAGATAATCTGACTAGTCCCATTTCCATATGGTATAATCAGCTAAGTCGTACTCAAATCTATTCGTGGAAAGATTTAGCTCATGTCTTCCTAGGTCAATAGAAGCATATGAATGATATGGACTTTGATCGAAAAACACTGCAAAATATAGAGATGAAGCACAATGAGAGCTTTCGACAGTATGCCCAACGATAGAGGGACGTTGCATCCCAAGTGCATCCATCAATAATTGAAAGAGAGTTCACCATCATGTTCATCGATATATTAAAATCTCCCTATATTGATCACATACTAGGAGCTGTAACTATGAGTTTTTCTGGCATCGCCATGTGTGGAGAAATGATCGAAAAAACCATCAAGCATGGTAAGATGGGGGTATTGGAAGTTTTGATGTTGAGACAAGAGCTAGGGTCAACATAGTGGGATCTTATTCAGTTAATCATGGGACCAAAAGCCGTAAGGCGAATCGAGAAAAGACTCATATTGATCCGTTTCCGATGACATATGAGAAATTGCTCCCAACACTAATTGAAAAGAACTTGGTGACTCCAATGCAATCCAAGCCAAAGGAACCCCGTTCCTTGAAGACTATGCCGAAGCTATCGAGTTGAAACGATGTCTCGAAAATCTTACTCTCTCGAAGCTGTCGGTAGAGGATCGAGCAGCACATTTAGATGGTGATCTTAAGGAGTGTATGAGACAGGTAAGGAGTGTGGAAGAAGAGAGTAAGCAGAAATTGCAGGATGCGATTCTAGCTAAAGCTATACATTTTGACAGAATAAAGCTTGGTCTCGAAGCGAAAATAGCTGAATTAGATGAAGGGCTTTTGAGAGCAGCCGCTGAAAACCAAGCGCTTTCGAGGTCATTGCATGAGCGGTCGAATTTGATAGTTCAACTTGAGGTTGAAAAATCTAAAGTGGAAGCTGAAACAGAACTTATGAAGGAAAACCTTGTGTCACGTGAGAGGGAAATAAGCTCACTCAAGTACGAGCTGCATATGGTTTCTAAGGAGCTTGAAATTCGCAATGAAGAAAAGAATATGAGTATGAGATCTGCAGAAGCAGCAAACAAGCAACATTTAGCTAGTGTCAGCAAAATTGCTAAACTGGAGGCAGTGTGTCAAAGACTACGTGGCCTAGTTCGTAAGAGGTTGCCAGGGCCAGCTGCATTGGCCCAAATGAAGCAAGAAATTGATAATTTTGGCAGAGATTTTGGTGGACCTCAACCTAAAAGGAATGTAGTTAAGAATCCTAACCTGAATTTGCCTCCACGGATGGAATCATCTGCTGGCAGCTTGCTGCAATCCCACAAGGAGATTGATTATCTTACTATGCGTTTGTTGGAGATGGAAAAGGAAACAAAGATGCTTAAAGAAGCTTTGGCCAGTCGCAATAGTGAACTACAGGCTGCCAGAGAGACGTGTGCTAAGACAAATCTGAGGGTGAAGAGCTTAGAAGCACAAGTACAGGCCCTTAATCATCAAACAAGCTCCCCAAAGTCGAGCATTGGGCACCCTGCTGGCGATCTTTCTAGTCAATATGCTAGCAATGCACCTAGTATCAGTTCCATGTCTGAAGATGGGATTGATGTTGAAGGACTTTCAGCTGAATCTTTGCTACCAGTAACCTCCGGTATCTCTCATCTGGGAATGGAGCAGAGTAGTCATAAAGTTCATAAGCAAGAGAACTCCAATTGCTTGGAATTGATGGATGACTTTCTAGAGATGGAGAAGCTGGCATGTCTGTCAAATGATGTTGGTGGAGCTAATGCTGTTTCTAGCGATCCAGCTAATTCTGATCAAGAGTTTGGTTTTAGTCCATCATCAAATCTGGAATCTTCAATTGCAAGATCATCAACAAAGGAGCTTCAGCAGGATGTGGAAAATCCTCCCTTCCAAAAGCTTAAGTCAATGGTTTTTACAATTTTTGAATCTCAAACTAAGGAGAAGAATTTGGGAAAGGTCTTGGAGGATATCAATTGTGCTGTTCTGGAAGTACAAGGTTCTCTGTCTCAGCAGCCAGTCACTTATATATGTGAAGGAGCTCAACTGGATCATGTTCCTTCCGATCAAAAGGATGTATCTGGAGGGAGATTGATTTTCTTAGATGGAGATAACGTTACAATATCTCAGATTCATCAGGTTGTACTATCAGTTGGTAGAAAAACAATGAGAGTTCAGGACCCTCATACCGATGGCCATGAGATAAGTAAAATATTAGATGACTTCTCTGTCTTTGTGGATAAGTTCATATTCGACAATAAGGGTTTGGTTGACTTCATCTTAAAACTTTCTCATGTTTTATCTGAAGTAGATCGACAGAACCTTGGTTTCTTGGGATATAGGGATTATGATAGAAATGCCAACGAAAATGATTGCATAAACAAGGTTGCTTTGCTAGAGAATAAGGTTGTACAAGGTAACCCATCAAAACATTCATGTGTTGGAGGGTGCTATCCTTGTCATTCCTGTCCTGACTCGAATGTACTTCATGATGAAATCTTGGATCCAAGCTTTAAACCCAATGCTACATCATGCTCGTGCTTATTGAAAGAGTTGGAACAGCTGAAATTGGATAAAGAAACTATGGCAGTGGATCTTACAAGAAGCAATGAAGATCTTGAAAATGCAAAGTTGCTGCTGCAGGAGACAGAGAATAGGGTAACTGAACTGAAGTTACAGTTGGCTTCCTCTCATAATCTCCACAGCCTCGCCGAAACTTAGCTGAAATGTATGAATGAGTCTTACAAGTCACTAGAAGTGCGTAAACAGGAGTTGGAAGCTGAGATAAACCTTTTACAAGAAAAGTCAGCGAAGTTAGATGATAAACTACAAGAAGAAAAGCGTGGCCATCAAGATGCCCTGGCTAGATGCAAGGATCTCGAGGAAAAAGTTCAAAGGTAAGCAGCTAACTGTTATAATGCATGATGATACTGCGAGCAGAAATGATCTCTAATAGGAAATGTTACATGCTAAAGGAACGCAGCATCCTTTCTATACCCGTCATCAGTGATAGAAGATTCTGAGATGAAGATCAAACAGGTATGCAGCATAATAACTCTGAAAATATTAATCGAGAAAATGTGGAAACCTATAATCGACTGATGACCTTTCAGATATCCTGTTATAAGAGCCTCTAGGGTGATAGAATGTTTGTTAAATGCTCTCTGGAAGTTCCTCTACATGGACTTATGTTGTAAGAATGTTATCCTTCTCGGGGTGGTTGCACTTTTTTGCTTGACCTATTTTTTTGTTCTTCGTTGTATGAAAGGCCTGAGGTTTGTGGATTGATCAGAGTAATCCTTCCTTATTTGGTGCTTTTGGAATGAGTTAGCTCGAAAGCTTTAGCTGAAAGTGTCTGTCCTTTCACTCTCTTTGCAGGAAAGAGATATAAAAGACGCAACACAAAAGCTCGCAGCATGCCAGGAGACAATTTACCTTCTCGGGAGGCAGCTGCAGTCTTTGCACACTCAAAGTGATGAGCTGTTGGGTGAAAGTTCAGTAGAAGGCAAATCATAGCGGTTCCAAGGCACACAATATTCGCTACACCAATGACCTTGAACACATTGAGACGGACAGCGTAGCTTCTGCAGATGTGCAATCCGTGAGTGATGATTCCTTGCATTACGGTCATTCCACATCAAGTCCCCTGGATAATGGCACCAGTCTTTCACCGCAGTCTTTAGGGAGCTCGTCTCACCTCAATCATACACGTACGAAGTCTATATTCTCTGCTTGTACTCTTGATCAAGAGAAATACTCGCTTAGTTTCGGTAGTCTCTTTTCCTTGAAGGGGAAGAGCG